TACCTGTGATTTCAAAGATTTATGACCTGGCTATGATTTAAAAATCCCTTATACATACTAGCAATGGGCATTATGAGTGAATAAAAACGAAAAATAAAAATTTAATTTCATGTCAAAAACCTGTATGGTGTGTTCTACACCAGTTATCCAGAGTAGCTTAATAAATGGCATCAGTGCTACCAGATGAAGCTGCTGAGGAGAAGGTTGGCGGAGAGCGGGGTGCTGACTTCACATCCATGGATGTCAGATGACATTGACAGAGTTGTCGTATTTCCACTCTGAAAATCCAGATTCCAGACTACTATAGCCACGGAAGGCCTTGTAAAAATAACAGATCCTGGTAGAGCAATGCCTCCTGGGAAGAATAGTGCTCCTGGTAGGATAATTCCCGTTGTAGAACTCCCAGTAAAACTCCCGGTAAAAACCCTCAAATATTTTATGACAATGAGGTTCTGAATTTCCGGACTGCAGAGAGAAAAAAACTTGGAAATAATGCAAGACTCACCTTCTATGAAAGGTTGGGGATTGAAATGGCCTTAATGACGATGAAGGTAGGCACGTGGCTGCCTGGGTGATGAACCATGAAGATCCTGCCTCTTGAACCAAAACCAGAAAAAATCTGTAGAGTCCAGCAGTCCTTGTAGATCAGCAACAAATCCAGGATATCCTGATGTGATCCAGAACGCCAGGCGGTACAGGACTTCAGAAACTGGTTCACACCACAAAAATGGCACTTGACCATCACGAAAAATTTCCTGCAGTGAGCTCTTGTGTTCAAATTGGCGGCACATATGAATATCCAAAATAAAAGATGTTATCGCTACTCCCTCTAGAGACTTGATTCTTTCCAGATGTCTATCTGAACCAATCAGAATTGATCACTAAAATGACGTCACACCTTTGGTCCGTTTTCTTCACGAATACTCGGCTAAGTTGGTTCGGCGACATTCGGCGATGAATCAATCTGAATCGAGGTTTGGCGCATGATAAGTTTGACACTGTTGACATGGTGTCATGACCGACAGCTAATTGACGTAAAGCGAAATAACTGATCAACAAAATCAAAACATCAACCTGAATTTATCAAATGCATCAATCACGAAAATAACCAAACGAAGTTAATTGATTCACAATGTTCAATTCCTAGTGAAGCCATCCACATCAGCATTCCTGGAAAATCCAATACCTATTATTGTCCTACTGTGATGAAGTTTCAAGTGGAAATAGCAGTGTGAAAAGTGAGTTTGACAATGTCTCTGTAATGTTATTTCATATTACTTAATATTATTCATCTCTTTCAGATAAGTTCCTGTAAAAAACATCCGAATCATCCCTTCTACTTGGATCACAACAAGCAGATATAGCAAGAGATATCAACTTATTTATTGGAATAGTATTTTTATTTTATGTACAGTGTGTCCTGTTTTACTGTCTTACTTTTTTGTGGAACGGACAATGCCTCAAACAGAATTGTCACAGATCTCCATGTTCTTGAGATACAGGGCGAAATTGAAAATTCTCACTTTTTGAGCATCTTCCGTATCTTGGTTTGTATCCAACTTATTGGCAAGGTGAGAACGGGACCTTGTATAACTTTTTACGCATAATACAGTGGCGTATTCATTCTGTTTCCGTAATGGCTCATTTTCAGAAATTGAAGCCAACACTTTCTTTTTCAAATATGGGACACCCTGTATATTTCTTTACATTTTGATTCAGATTTTTTTTGGCTTTCCGAAAATATATAATAATTGACATTTTTCTATATTATTGATGTTTCAATTCAAAGATATTCTTTCACTATGCGTGTTCGCAAGTAGGCCGTGGTGAATCAGTAGAAAACAAAGTTGTTTATAGCTTTCAATAGTTGTTGACATGAACGCTCATCAAGTTTTCATGCTATACTATGTTTTCAAGAGTTTCACACTCGTTATTTTGTGATTTTTGTATTTTTCTGCGATTCATACGATGCAGCACTATATCAAAATTATGAAATAGTGATATGTTAGTTTGCTTCATACAATGCAATGAAAACTCACATAATGCTGCAGAATTCTACTCCGAAAGGTATGTTCACATAAATCATTTTTGCTTATAAGTATGAAGTTATATATCGATATATTATAATTACTGATATAGGTATCCAGAAAGGAGGCAGCCTTCTACTGAAACTTTTTCCCGGATGAAGACAGATTTATCAGAGTATGGAGCTTCTAAACAGCCTCGACCAAAACTCTATCACAAAGGAAATCGTGAAACGGACGAAATCAACATTTTAGCTTTCGTAGAAGCAGCGCCTTCAAGTTCATGTCGAGTTATTGAAAGAGAAGCCGGGTACAGGAAATTTTGAAGAAAAATTAATTCACACCATATAAATTACAAATCGTACAGCATTCGCATCCTGGGGATGCCGGACGTCGATTAATTTTTTGTAATTGGTATATGGAACGGATTCGAATGGATATTGATTTTTCCCCATCAGTAATATGGTGTGATGAATCATATTTTTCGAGTGCCGGCATCTTCAATCGCCAAAACACCAGACATTGGTCTCAAGAAAATCACCATATTATATTTGAACGAGAACAGCAAGGACGGTCTGGCTTCAGCGTGGCTTGTTTCATTTTGGGTCGAAATATAGTATATCAAATTTATGAAGGAGGTCTCACTGCAAACCGTTACCTAGAAATTCCACAAGATGTTTTGCCAGAGCTGCTGGACGATATCCCTCTGGCTCAGTTGAATAATATATATTTTCAACAAGACAGCGCCTGCCCACAATTCTCAAATAATACGACAATTTCTTGAAATTAATTTTCCCCAACGATGGATAGCCACTGATGGACCTATAAGATGGCCTCCAATATCACCAGATCTATTAGTTTCAGATTTTTTATGGGGTTTTCAGAAAGACAAGATTTAGAGGTCTCAACATCGTTCTATGGAAGAACAGCCACGCATTCTGCTTTCCGATATTTGCTGGGCCGTCCATTTATACTTCAAAATGCCCTTAAAAGAATCAAAAAAGTTTGTGAAATTTCTATAAGAGGAAATGGGTAATTATTTCGAACAATATTTATGATAATTGGAAGAGACTTTATGAACATGTTGATAGTCAAATTTTGAATTATAGCATTAATAATAAAAGAAGTGTCCACTATATTGAATATTTCTGGAGAGCTTTCGAAAATCTGAATTGAACTGTATATATATGTACCACTTGGAAACACAGTATGGCATGGAAGCTTGATAAGCGTTCATGTCAACAACTATTGACAGCTATAAACTACTTTGTTTTCTACTGAGTCACCACGGCCTACTTGCGAAAACGCATAGTAAAAGAATATCTTCGAATTAAAACATCAAATGATATAGAGAGATGTCAACTATAATATATTTTCGGAAAGCCAAAAAATAATCTGAATCTAAATGCAAAGAAATATACAGGGTGTCCCATTTGAAAAAGAAAATGTTGGCTTCAATTTCTGAAAATGAGCCATCACGAAAACAGAATGAGTACGCCACTGTATTATGTGTGAAAAGTTATACAAGGTCCTGTTCTCACGGGCCAATGAATTGGATACTAACCAAGATACGATAGGTGCTCAAAAAGAATTTTCAATTTCGCCCTGTATCTCAAGATTATGGAGAGCTGTGACAATTCTGTTTGCGGCATTGTCCGTTTCACAAAAAAGTGGGACAGTAATGTGAAAATCTCTATCTCCAAAGACAACTGAGATATCGCACAAAAGCATCGGAAACTGGATACACTGTACAGTGTGAAATCTCAGGTGTGTATCCACATATCAGGTTTGAGAATAACTGAATAATATAATGCAGATTGAGTACAATTTATGTTATGGAAAAATGTTAACCATGTTATTGTGACAAAATATCCTGTCAGATGTGCTCAGCAGTACAGAATGGTGGCCAGGTAGCCGTGCGGACAGAGTGTCTATATTTTAATTCGCATTCGCTTGCCGGTCGTGGGTCCGATCCCCGTCGACTGCAGACATTTTTCTGATGGCCCAAGGAAGTGTTTGGGATCACACGTTAAAAGGTAAGGCCCCCGTCATTCCTTGCTCGCACAAGACTTTCGAAGACTTTTGAGGGTTGCTCGTAAGGGGGCAACCGAATGACGGATAGAACAAATTTTAGAACAAACAAATAAATTTAGAATCAGACGAAATATACAGTAGTGACAATTTACATGCTACACAGTTCATTGTCAGTACATGTTCAATTTCTGCTGCAGAGATATCGAATAGAATTCTTTTGACCAGTACGTGAACTGGGATATGCATTCTGTATACAAAGAACTTGTGAGATTTTCAAATTTTGTGATGAAAGGAAGTATCAGAGATTCGGATAACTCGTTGTTTCATTTGCTTTATCAAATTAACCTTCATGCCATGTTTGTGGTAAGAAGCATAATTTAGATAACATCCAGAGCTGCAGGGCTTTCTATACTAAACTATGAGCACTGTGTTGTCTGGCTGTCTTATGAACAGTTTGTCCAGAAAGATGTGCTTTGGCAGAACATGTAAACAGTAGCTGAATCTAACAGAACTAAAAGAACTTTTATATCTGAGAATATTTCTATTCGATACTTTCAGCCAATCAAGGGGTTCAAACTTGAAAGATGGAAACTTGTAATTTTTATAGACCTCAATCGCAGATTCGTGATTAGGTTACCTCAATTCAGAATTTTTTTCCACGTCCTATATGATGAATATAAATTCATCATACTTACATGCAAAAACACTTATGTCTATTTTGTATTGGATGTCATGTGATATAAATGAATGCTGGGTACTTTCATAAAGAACAATACTGAATTATTAAATGGAAGTTTAATGACATTTTATCCAGTTGATGGAAAGGGATAATGTTACCAATCCATTCATCGATGCAAGTTATCTGTAGTAGTGTCGTCACTATATAATTTCATGTTTCTCAACATGTTGGTTGGTAATATTGGATTACATTGACTAGAGAAGTCATAATAAAATGAAGGCACAGAAAAATACCGTGCTCAAAATATAATGATTGGAACCATATCCATGACCTGAATTGGGATTGGAACTAGTTGATGGACTTGTGTTCTCAGTAGTTGGATTACTTGTATTTTCAGTAGTGGTACTGCTTCCATTGTCCGTGTTAGTGGTATTTTCAGTTGTGGTAGAGCTGGTTCCACTGCTTGATGTAATGGTACTATTTCCAGTACTAGGTTCATTGGTACTTGTAGTAGAGACATCATGACTAGTGTTCTCTGTACTCGTAGGACTGGATTGACTCGTGCTCTCAGAAGTTGGGATATTACTAGTGTTCTCAGTAGTTGGATTACTTGTATTTTCAGTAGTGATACTGCTTCCATTATTCGTGTTAGTGGTATTTTCAGTTGTGATAGAGCTGGTTTCACTGCTTGATGTAGTGGTACTATTTTCAGTACTAGGTTCATTGGTACTTGTAGTAGAGACATCATGACTAGTGTTCTCTGTACTCGTAGGACTGGATTGACTCGTGCTCTCAGAAGTTGGGATATTACTAGTGTTCTCAGTAGTTGGATTACTTGTATTTTCAGTAGTGATACTGCTTCCATTATTCGTGTTAGTGGTATTTTCAGTTGTGATAGAGCTGGTTTCACTGCTTGATGTAGTGGTACTATTTTCAGTACTAGGTTCATTGGTACTTGTAGTAGAGACATCATGACTAGTGTTCTCTGTACTCGTAGGACTGGATTGACTCGTGCTCTCAGAAGTTGGGTTAATACTTGTGTTCCCAGTACTTGGATTACTTGTATTTTCTGTAGTAGTACTGCTAGTGGTACTCGTAGAACTGACGGTAGTTCCTGAGGATTGAGTGGTATTGGTGGTAGACGAACTGTCAGCAGTGGGATCTGAAGTAATTTCACTGCTAGATGTAGGACTCGTCGGAGCCATAGTACTAGGAGCACTACCTGAATTGCATCTGTCATACTCACAGGTGTAGCAGTAATTATGATCCTTATACTGGTCACATATAGTGGAATTACCACATCCTCTTGTTGTTCTAACTAAATAAAAAAACATATTAGTGTCAACATTTGGAAATGTTTTTCTCAATACTAGCTCATTGAAAATTGCCAAAAGTGCTCCTATTCTCAATTCGCTACTGACCAGTATTTCAATACATTTTTCAATTGGCAAGGATGTTCGATATTGCTTCCGCGTGGCATCTGTAAAGGATGGTTCTCAATCTACTTTGAATCTATAATTCCGAATGTTGAGGAGGCATATGTTTAAAATGTCTTCACACATTTTGTCATTCAGGGTGTTGCTATTTTCTTTCATCTAATGAGTATTAGAGGCATTAGTCTTTACGTCATACTGAGTGGAGGAGTATTGCGCCAGAGTTCGATTGCTCGGATTCCATGATAGCTAGAAACATGTTTGATAAATTAAACTAAACAACAGTCGTTTATAAGAAATTATCTGCCGCATATACAGGGCGCACCTAGAAACATCTAGAGAGCCGAGATATGTAGAACAACTCTATACCAAGATTTGTTTGACTATACAAGGTGTCCCAGAACGACGTACCATAAATTCTACAGGGTGCCTAACTGCCAAATCAGACCGATTGAAATTAACTTACCTCTATACGAAAATGCACCGTTGAGCCGTGAAAGGGCGATAAAGAACAATTTTGATCCCATTTTCATTTTCATTGGGCAATGGATCCCAGATTTTCTTAAATATTTCGGAAACCTTGGAAGGAATACTGTTCTGAAATTTGTTCACTATAGTAAATATGTGCATAGAAAACATGTCGTAACAATTCAATCAATATACAGGGAGTTAGATATATTGCGGATTTTCTTCGATAAAAATTGATATAACTTTCAACTATAACTTTTGTTGTACGGCACTGACCATATTTTGATATTTCGATGACGAAATCAATTCTCTCTCACTTTTTTCTAACTGCAGTGTTTTTATATATTTTTTTGTTGTTCTTCGTCATACTTGTTTATGATTATGACGATTATCATGATTTTATCAAGTTATTGATCACAATTATCATGTTTATGAACTACTTCAGCATGTGATAATGTTGTTTTTCTCGAATAGAGTTTTTTCACCAGGAATCTTGAACTAGAATTAGGAGATGACCAGCTTCAAAATCATATGACGAAGAGATTGTGGATGGGTAAACATAATTATTGCGGTCAATAACTTGACGCAAATTGGGTAGGAACTGGCAAAACATGATGATTAACATTGCTTGCCGTCAAAGATCAACTTCTTGAATTTATCAGTTCAAATGAAACACTTATCGAACAACAATCAGGGTTTAGGAAATGTCACTCGTGTGAAACGGCTCTTCAGTTTTTGATATCCGCCAAATGGAAAGTTGATATTCATGATGAGAAAATCATCGGGGTGGTTTTCTTGGACTTGACAGAGGGCATTTGAAACTATAAATAGAGATTCACTTCTGAAGAAATTGAACAAATATGGGATAGGCGGAAAGGTTTTCGAATGGTTTCAGAGCTATCTACAAAATAGAGAACAACTTGTCAAATACAATAACACTTACTCAAATAGAGAAAAAGTCATGCATGGAGTACCACAAGGATCGGTACTGGGACCAATATTATTTATTTTATTCATAAATTACATTATACAGCACGTCCAGAATTGTAAGCTGAAACTATTTGCGGATGATACCTTGCTTTACTTCTCTGGCAAGAAAGAGGATGTTGAGAAATTCTTGAATGAAGATCTTGAGAATATATTTACCTGGATCTGTGACAATGGACTCAAAATTAATGGTACAAAGACGAAATTCATGATTACTTATATCTTCGAAAGCAAATTCAAAAATGATCCAGGAAAATGAAATAAAATTCAATATCCTGATAAACGGAGGAATCATTAAAGAAATGAAAATGTTCAAGTATTTGGGAGTGATCATTGATAATCAACTGAATTTTAACAGTCATTGTGAATACATTAATAAAAAAATTGCGCGAAAAATAGGTTTCATGTACAGGCTTGGTGATAAAGTATCTCATTTCACGAAATTAACAATTTACAAGTCAATAATTTCACCTCATTTATTTTGGTACTTTACTGAGTTTCTTGTGTAACGAACAGATTAATACACTGCAAAAAGTCCAAAATCGTGCAATGAGAGATATCTCGGGATATAAAAGACGCACACCAGTCAGAACAATGCTGAACACATTGCAATTAATGAATATCAAGCAAAGAGTTTCATATAATACAGTAATTTTTGTTTATAAATTGAAGAATAACATGTTGCCTTTGTATTTATCAAGTGAGCTATATTATGTTCAAGATGTACATTGTCACAATACCAGAAGACAAGCAGCGAATGATTTCTATATAAATTCAGTCAATATTGTCTGTGATACTTTATATACAAAAGGTCTGGTATTGTTCAATAATTTGCCCTGTGAAATGAAAAGATGTGTGTCACTAGATAGTTTTTAAGAATCGTGTGTGTTATTTGTGAAAGAAAATTATTGATTGTTCAATTGAGAAAGGAGAAATCTGTTAAATACCCTTATATTGAAATATGTAGGTAACGTAATTCATGTGTCTGTGTCTTAGTTCTATATTTTTATGTTTTTATTTATTGACTTATTGTATTTTATTGTAGATTGAACTGTAATGAAGAGCACTGTGCTAATAAAGTTTGGTATAAACGAGTCGTGTGGAGAAGCACCAAAATGAGTTTTGTATTCATCTCGAAAGCCAAGGAGAATAATTAAAAAAACTGCAGTTAGAAAAGAGTAAGATAACTGATTTTGACATTCTTCGAAATATCAAAATATCGACTCCAAATAAGTTACATCGATTTTCATCAAAGAAAATGTGAAATACCTAACTCTGTATATTCATTGAAATGTCACGACATGTTCTCTATGCACATTCACTGTGGTGAATTATTGCCCAACGAATTCACTTGCGTCTGCGGAGTCTGCGTCATGAAACGAAATAGTGGTGGAGACTTCGCGGAAATGAGTTCACAGTACTTTCTTCAGGGAGGAAGGAAAATATTCCTCCTGCATGAAAAAGGACACTACTTTTTTCGAAGTATCTAACCTCACTCGGCCTGAATTAATCTTCTTTCTAAAACGACAAAAGTATTTTTCAAGAAGGAAGGAAAATATCTCTCCTGCATGAAAAGCAGAAGAGGACACAAATATTTTCAAACCATCAAACTTTAATCGGCCAGAATTAAAACAAAAAGCCGATCAGTTGCTGGCATTGAACCCGGGTCACCGACGTGAGATCCAAACGCACAGTCAACTACGCCAGTAGATAGAATATTTTCTTAGAATGCTGACACACCCGGTTCGTAAACACCTTTAATGAGAATAACTTATAAATTATTGAACAAACTTCGACTGAAAAAAATGACTTGACTTCTCGAAGAATGTCAAAATTGAATGAAAATTAGTTATAAATTATTGAACAAACATCTACTGAAAAAATGACTTGGCTTCTCGAAAAATGTCAAAATTGAAATTATTCATGTCGATCTTGACATCGTCTTCTTCTACGGAATCTTCAAGTTGCTGGCTTCTACGGGATGTTCAAATTGCTGGCGTGGTGTGCTGCAATTCTCCATCGCCTATTGCTGTTGTTCTCCTATTTTCAACAATAACTGTGGTAGTATTGAGAAAGAATTTAGTCGCTGCACCCGCACTTGCTGCACTGATTTACATTTATTTGTTACCTCTTGTCTCTAGGTGCTTGTATTCGGATTCGAACGAAGAAGCAATAACTAGCAACGCTGCACTTCCCCCACCATTCTGAAATTTATGGCAAGTACACTGCCCAGACGCTACTGACGAATTTCCGAGGAGTACGACCTTTCAAGGATTTCGGAATATTGTAGAGAATTTGGTAATAAAAAATTGTTCCTCATCGTCCTTTCACGGCTCAACGGTGCATTTCCGTACGGGAGTAAGTTGATTTCAATCGACCTATTCTGGTGTCTAGTTCACCGTGTCAAATTCACGATACTTTGTTCTGGGACACCTTGTAGAACGACAAGGCTTTCGAATTCTTTGCGAAAGGAAGTGAGTATTCTCAAGATACCCAAGTAGCACAGTCATGAAATTACTCCTTATACCGTCTCAAAGACCACATATTTGCCATGGTTCACGACCAAAAAGCTGATGTTCGATTAATAACATTAACACTTTTGCCGCCTCCTACTTCTACATCACAAGGTTGCAAAACATAAAGTTTTTTTTTTCATTTTTGAAGGGAAAAATCAATCCTGAAAGTTTGAAATTGTTGTAATTATTTCCATGATATTTCAATTATGCATCTACAAATGATAATTTGAAAAAAAAAGTGATTGAGACATCCCAGGCTACACAAAAAGGTCCCAAAGATATCTCGGAGATATTCTCCTGAGAAATTGTGATGCCTTCTGTAGCTTCTCTGAGAGATCGCCGAGAGCGCTATATCTCCAAATGTCCGCCGCCTAGGATGAGCTCTGCGAGGTTTTAAAGATATCGCACGCAGAAATTCTCAGACAATGCTCTCAAGCGAGCACTTTAGGATATTGGCATCAATCGCCACTTGCGAGGTCCAAAAGTGCTCGCGACTACGAGCTGTTTGAGATATTCGCAAACAGCCTCTGTGGCGAGTGCTCGCACTATGAGTTGTTCATCAGTCTGCACATCGCCTTATAACGAGGCCTTTGGGAGCGATATTCACATCAATCGCCACTGATATGGTATGGTGTTCAATTCTTGGGAGTCATTGGTTATCAGCAGTCGCCTGTTGGCGAAGTCTAACTAGCGCTGGCTATATTGTTTGGGGTGAAGTTAAATTCAATCGATATTTGTTTCAGCGCTAAATATAAAATCACCAAATATTTGGATCAACATATTGAGTTTCAATTGAAACAATGTTGATAGACGTTGTATGTTATCTGTTATAGAGGGTGTTTCACAGGTGAAGGAAAATATTTCAATGGTAGATGGGGCGGGTCAACAAGGTGGTTCTGAAAATACCATATTTG